CCACTTTGCAGATGAGGAAACTGGAGCTCACGGAGGCCCAAACCACATGGTGTTCTTATGTGAGCCTCAGCGTGCCACCATGCTCTTTTTAATGCTTTTGATATATTTTGGATTTTTAGGAAGCCAATTTGTCTAAGGGCCCTTTAAACTTTACAAGGTAGCATATTCAGTGACTGCTGGGTGTGGTGGGTGTTTATCAAGCTTTGGGCTCATCTAGCCCCTTTCTCCAAGTTACAACTCCTGACTCCTGGGGCTGCTTTCCCAGCTTCCCTTGCAGCTAGGGCATGGGCATGTGGCTTAAGCTCCGGCAACCAGGTGCAAGATGTCAGTTTGGATGCAAGCACCATAAAGGAGGTGCTGTGCAGGATTCCTTCTAGGAAGGATCCTGAGAGACAGATATCCAGTTGTCAAAGGTGGCTGTGGCCTGTCCTGGCTAATCTTGTGTCCAGCATCAGGAGTGTGGGCAGAGATACCTGAGCCCAGTGGCCAGAGCAATAGCATCTCCACTGGCGGAGTCTGATAGGATAACTTGGGCATCACACAGGGCAAGCCTGTCAGCCTGATTCTCTGGCCCTCCTGAAGATCTTGAAAGAGACTAAATATTCCTCCATTAACTCTTTTTCTGCTTAAACTAGCTTGAATAGGTTCTTTTTGCAAATCTGACAAATAAAATGAGGTTGTTGTGTATCTTGTGGCTTCCATTTTTCTATTTTAACTACTTTCAATACCTCCCCCTCCCAATTTCCCAAATTCATACATTATAATTGAACTGTGAAACACAAGAGATCACGGAGATCATTAGGGCTCAGTGTTAAAGATAACACAGTGCAAGGAGTCTTAAGTATTTATTATATTCAGGGAAGGCCCACCCTCCGTCTTAACATCTACATAATCCCATCACTTATAACTCGCTTCAAACTTGATAAATCTTATTTAGAAAAAGGAATATGTCTTTTGGTCAAGTGGTCTCTTCCCAGGACAACTCCCTAAAAGCTGATGGCCAGGTTCAGGTCAGTCCTATGTAAGGCCAGAGCCAGCCTGGTGTAAAAGCTGACAATTGTATTCATCAGACCACCCTTGGCTGACTCTGGCCTGCGGCTCTGTCTCTTCCTCCTCTGAAACTCCATCACATAGAAACACACACACGTTTGGCTCTCAGTGATAGACTTTTCCATTCTGCCATAATTGTTTTATGTGTTGGCTTTGTAGCTCTGATTAAACAATTAATCCCTCAGGGGGCAAGAACCACATCTTGTTTCTTTTATAATTTTTACAGCACTGAACAGACTGTCATGAACATTGTAAGGGTCTGTTTAATAAATATTTGCTGATTAATTTTTCTCTTGGGGCTGTTAAGTATAAATTACGCGGGTGTCTCATTATTCTTCAACGTGTGTGTGTGTGAGAGAGAGATCGGAGAGTCAATAAATCATATACTCCAGGCATGGAATTTAGAGCTAGAAAAGTCAAAGACACAAGACACAAGTCTCAGCCTTGTGAGACTACCCTTAGTTTTTTATGTATAAATTGGGGCTTATAACAATACCTACTCTAACTACTTCCTGGGACTGGGGCCTTCAGAAGAGATTATGTGTACTTAAGGTGCCTTGTGATTATTATCCAGTCCATATGAAATGGGACCAGAGAGAGGAGTGGAGAAGAGGCTCTAAAGTCAGTGTACAGAGAAGGGATCATAGCCGACAGGACCTATGGGGTTTGGTCCCACCTGCCTGGGGCCAACAGGTTTTTGGTTTTTTTTTTTTTTAAGATTTCATTTATTTATTTGTCGGGGGCAGGGGGAGAGAGAGAGAGCAAGCACACAAGCAGGGGGAGTGGCAGGCAGAGGGAGAAGCAGGCTCCCCGCCGAGCAAGGAGCCCGATGTGGGACTCGATCCCAGGACCTCGGGATCGTGACCTGAGCCGACTGAGCTGTGGGGCCAACAGGTTTTATAGCACTGGACTTCCAAGTATTTCCAGGTAGCAGGCATCCTCCTCTTTATCCCCCACTCCTAGCCCAAGGCGTCAATTCTACCTCAGACTTTAAAAACCTCTAAACCTGTAGCCTGACACCTTGTCTCTCCCCAACCTTGGTTCAGGCTTTGGTCCTACCTTACAGCTTAGGCCTCTTTCTGCCTCTGGTCTCTAATCCCCCTCCCCCCACTCTCCAACCCCAGGGCAGCTATTGACCTAAAAAAACAAATCTGATCACATCCCTTCTCTAAGAAGCTCTGTTGGATATCTAAACCTATGTATCTTATCTAAAGAGGGAAGCCCAGTTATGAGGCTGTTTCAGTCATGTGAGAGATGTTGGGTGTGTGAACTAGGAAAGATCTAGAGGTGGAAAAGATTAGAGAAATAATATATAAAACTATAAGCTCTGTATGTGTGTGTATTGTTATACAAAACATGAACAATAGTTCTTTCTTTTTTTTTTTTTTTTAGATTTTATGTATTTATTTGTCAGAGAGAGAGAGCACAAACAGGGGGGAGTGGCAGGTAGAGGGAGAAGCAGACTCCCCGCTGAGCAGGGAGCCCGATGTGGGGCTCGATCCCAGGACCCTGGGATCATGACCTGAGCCAAAGGCAGACACTTAACCAACTGAGTCACCCAGGCATCCTGAACAATAGTTATTTCTAAAATTTCTTCTACTCATTTAGATATTCAACAGATATTTATTGTGTGCCTACCGTGTGCTGGGCACCATTCTAAGCACCGCAGATATGAGGGAACAAAACAGATGCAGATCCTGCCTTCTTAGAGCTCACAGTCTAGCAAGGAGAGAAAGAACAATGGGAAAATCAGTAGGGAATCAATCAGGGCCAGATGAGAGTGACTGGGGGAACCACTTGAGATAAACTGATCAGAAGAAAGTCCTCTGAAGAAGAGTTGATATTTAAGCTGAGCCTCAATGACGAACAAGAGTCAGCTGGACAAAGAGCTGGAGAAGGATATTCCAGACAGAAGGATTTTGAATTTTATTCTAGGATTAGAAATCATTAGACAGATGGCTTGGAATGAAGGAGGGAGAGACATAGAATGGTTTTTCTTTTCAACAGGTCACTGTGGTCCCTGAGGGAGAAGACCGTGCAGGGGTCAGGAGGGAGGCAAGCATGAATGGAAGCAGGGACAGGGTATGTTGAGGTGGTATTGGCTCTGGCCGAGTTGTTGGCGGCTTGTGTCCAAGGTGTCCAAGGACATGAAGAGAAGTGGTCGGTTACAGGATTTATTTTATGGGTCAAATAGACTGCTTGCTGATGGATTTACTGGATATGAGGGTGAGTGGCAGGAAGGAATTATGGATGACTTAGGGTGGATGGTGATGTCATTTGCTGAGACAACTGGGAAAGGAATAGATTAGGGAAGAAAAGTTACATTTGGCTTTGGACATGTTGAGTGTGAGATGATAGTCATTCACTGGAGATGACAAATGGTTGCTTGGAGAAGTAAGTCTGGAGCTCCTAGAGAGGTCCTTGGTGTAGATTTACATCTGCGAGTTACCAGCACGTAGATGATACCACAGTCATGAGGTTGGGAGGGATCACCCAGGGAGAGAGCATAACCAGATCAGAGGGTGGAAGACAGCCTCTGGAATACTCCAGCATTCACTGGTAGAGAAAACAGGGTCTGAGGAGCCTGAGGGACAGCAGAAGGGTGGAGCTGCCCCAGCTCCCACAGAGGAAGGTGTGTCCAGATGCACGATGCGGTCAACTGTGTGCGGGTATCACAAGAAGACAAGGGTGGAAAAGGGATAAGAACACAGGATTTGACAACAGGTTAGTCATTATGGTGACTGTGACAAAAGCAGTTTGGGACCCAGGCCTGACTGGAGTATGGGGAAGGAGAGGTGTGAATGTATAATTGGCAAGAAGTTTTGCAGAGAGGATGGATCATGGATGTTTTTATTTCTGTCTGTATATTCCAACCATGAACATTTGTTACTTACATAATGCTATAATAATGTACACATTGCAGATAGCACCCAACTGTTTATGAGAGGAGAAACTCCTCAGTAGAACACAGCAGCCCTTCAGCGACCTCTCCAACCCCAGGCTCGCTCTTCTCCACAAGCATCCGTCCCCTGTCTGCATCAGTCTGCATTTCATTCTTGCCGGCTGCCACCGCATATGTAAACTCAGAGTCTGGCGCCAGGCATTAGCTGTGGCTGGGCCTCCCACTCCTCTCAGCATCCCCAAGCCACCCCACCCCACACACGTCCAGGATCATTCGGGTACACACTAAGCACCCACCAGTTTCACCCACGCGTGCGTCCGTCCCGCAGCTGCAGATATAGCTCCTTTCCTGCCCTTTACTCCCCTGGGCTCGTAGACCAATAGGATAGGAAAATAGGGAAAAGAATTGGGCCTCCAAGTCAGACGGGCGTGGGTTCTTTCCTCCATCTGCCACATAGCTGTGTGACTCTGGACAAGTCTCTTAACGGCCCGTGCCTCAGGTTCCTCATCTGTAAAACGAGGTTAGCAAAACCCACACCCTATCCGTTTTGTGATGCCTGGCATAAAGTAAGCAGCAGCTAAGGCGGCGCCTCAGTTTTGCTTCAGCGTAGCGCCCTGTTGAGCCACAACAGGTGAGGACTAAGATGTTTCAGAAATGTGACCCAGCAGTGGGGGCCCCTCACATGACCCCGAGATACCAGACGGTGTCCCTCTCCCCGCACAAGGCACATGCTGGTCGGGTGACCCGTCTTTCCAGTCGTCCCACACGCTGGGTCTGTGATCACGCGCCCCCCACCCATAGCTGAGCCTGACGCGGCGGTGGCTCATGCGCCTTTCCGCCCCAGCCTCTAGCCACGGACCACACGTCCCATCCCTGCCGCCCGGCCCCGCCCCCTGCCCCGGGCGCGCCCCTCCAGTTTCCCGGCTCGGGTGTCGGAGGGGCCGCGCCCGCGGGCCGTGCGCACGGATTGGCTGCGCCGCGGCGGCGGGCGGCCCGTGGGCGCACACACCCTCCCCGTGCAGCCAATGGGCGTGCGCGCGTCACTGACCGGGAGGCCCGCGAGCCGGCAGCCCCTCAATAAGCCACATTGTTGCACGAAACTCCAGAGCAGGAGTCCCGAGCCGCCGCTAGGGCCGCCGTGTCATCAAGCGGAGGAGATCCGTGGGCAAGGCAGCGCGCGTGTGAGCCGCAGAGGTCCGCTCGCCCAAGTGAGACCGGACCGAGATTCTTCCCAAGTTGAGCCTTTAGTGATCCTGTGGTGAAGTTAGCACGTTGGCGGTGGGGCAACCCGACACGTCGCCAGCAGTGATTTTTGGGCGCCTTCTAGCAATCGGGACTCCCAAGACCTGTTTCCAGAGACCCTACACTCTCAAGCTGAGCGTGCCATCACCTTCTTTTTGTGCCGTCCGGATTCACTGCTCCCGGCCGGGCCGCCAAGCCCCGATACAAAGCGGTCGGACCGCGCTGTCCTCCTCCCCCGCACGCGCTCCAACCTCGGTTTCCCAACTCGGCGCCGTCGGGCCGCGGCAGGATGATCGCCTCGCATCTGCTCGCCTATTTCTTCACGGAGCTCAACCATGACCAAGTGCAGAAGGTAAGTAAGCGCGTGCAGGGGCGGCTGGCTCGCCTTTGACAAAGTTGTGTGGTCCCGGCCCTCACTTTGGAGTCCCGGCGGGCCGGGACTCTCCTCCTTGACCCTGCGGGGAACCACTTCCTCCTCATTCGGGGTCGAGGACGCGGAAAAAGTCAGGGCTGCCGGGAAACTCCTGGGCGCGAGGAGCCACGTCCGCTAGGCACGGGCAGGCGTGTGCGCGCGTGCGAGGCGCCTGGGCTCGCGCACCGCGCGGCTCTCTGCCTTCCTGCCACCCGGCGCGCGCTCGCGCTTTTTTTTTTCCTTCCCGCTGGAGGGGCGGGTCACCCGGCACGTAGTCTGAGACTGTGGGGCCCACGTGGGAGGAGCCCCCCGCTCGCAGCCGGAGTTCCGGCGAGAGCACGTGGGGGGAGAATCGTGGCTGGTCCGGGGAGGCTCCGCTGCCACGTGGGACTGCTGGGGGACTCCGGTGCCAAAGGATCGCGTTCTGGGGACATGCGGTTCCCCTCGGCGTTCCTCAGGGCCTCGCGGAGGTGCGCTTGGGGAGAGGCCGATCCGGGAAGGAGCCGAGAAACTCCGCCCGCCGCGCCCCCTCCCCGGAACTGAGGCGCCCGGAACTGAGGCCCCGCGAGGGGCGTACATTCCCCCACAGATGTGCCTCGGGACGGCCGGGCCTTGAGTCCGCGGCCCCCGCCTCCAAGTAGGGGGCGAACTTTGGTTGATATTTCTAGTGCTACTAAAAGTTGCACGAACTGTGTGTCCCCCCCCCCCCCCCCCCAGCTTTCCTGTCTTCTTTGAAAAGTTTTCGTTAGGTAAACGAGCTTTTTCCTGCCCGAGACTCCGACAGGTCTGCCCACTTCGGGGTCGGCAGCCCTCCGAGCTCTCGGGCTAGGTCATTTACATAAGAAAGAGCTTCTGGCCCCGCCGGGAGCCAAGCTCTAGGTGCCTCCGGGTATGGGGTTGGGGGTGGGGCTGGGCCCGAGGCGCTCTCACTCTCGGTAGCATTGAGTTTCTGAAATACTCGGGATTTCAGGATTGGCACCTGACCCTGGACCTCACTAGCGGTCTTGAGAAGAAGGGATGGGTGGTGGGGGGTGTCCAGAGCTGTGAGGCAGTGACAGCGTTGCTTAATTACATACTTGAAATTTCTGTGTCTCAGAGGGAACACATTTGGGATAGTGTCTTGACATAATTGTTCGGTGCCGCGACCTGCTCGTATTGTACTCCCATTCTGGGGATTCTGAGAGCAAAGGAGAGGATGGTGGGTTACCCTCGTGGTGTTTTCAGAGCCGGGGCAGATGAACCCCCAAATAAAACATGGCAATACTTAGCCTCAGACTGGAGTAGGGAGGAGAGTGCGGCTGGCTGAATGGACGACTGTTGCCCTCTCCTTCCTGGGATGTGGCTCTCTCTGCCCTGAATTCAGTTTAAGAATGTGTCTGTGAGCCGGCAGGATCTTGGCAACTTCTATGGGCTTCTCTGCCCAAGAAGTGAGTTAACCCTTGGGGAAGACTCATCCCTTGGCAAATCCTAAAGTAGGAAACTGGAGGATCCTTAATCCAGGGGAGGTCTCAGTTGTGTGAATGTCACTCCAGAGCATTGTAATTCCTTTACCAGTTTACTCTCCCTTAATCCAGAGGGAGGAGGCTAAGACTCAAACTGTCTTGGTATGGATTCCGAGTCCTCTCTTTGGTCCCAGAGCGGAGAGAGACTAAGCCAGTTCTAATCTTTGTTTTGTGATTTATTAACCACAGGACCCTGAGCAAGTCACTTTGCCTCTTTGGACTGTTGGTTTCTTCTTGTAAAACAGGAGTCATAGCAGCCGCCTTGCCCACTTTAGGGAGTTGTGATGATTCAACACAGTAATGTAGACATGTCTTTTTTGTAGGTGACTCTTCCTACACACGCAGCTTCCTTTTAGCCTGTGAAGTGTCTGGGTGGACACTGGGTGTATTTCCTCGAAATTACCAATGGGGGCAGAATAGAGTCAGGCCTTTAATTTACCAGGTGCCGGAACCTGGGACTTGGCCTCCAGGCTTAGGTGAACAAAGCTGTTTGATTCCAGCTGCCATTCGATAGGAAGTAGGAGGAGACTCAGAATTTTTGGAAGCAGCTTTTCTTTATTTTTTTTTTTAATTTATTTATTCATGACAGAGAGAGAGAGGCAGAGGGAGAAGCAGGCTCCCAAGGAGCAGGGAGCCCGATGCGGGACTCGATCCCAGGACCCTGAGATCATGACCTGAGCCAAAGGCAGACGCTTAACCATCTGAGCCACCCAGGCGCCCTGGAAGCAGCTTTTCTTTTTAAGTAGACTCCACTGCACACCCAGTGTGGAGCCCAATGTGGGGCTTGAACTCATGACCCTGAGATGAAGACACTTAACCTAGTGAGCCACCCAGGTGTCCCTAGAAGCCTGTTTTCCAGTTGCTGCTACAAGGATGAATTCGGGGAGAAGGATGAAGTTTGAGTTTAATTTTAGAGAGTCTTTTGAAAAGGTCTTGATTTGGACTCTTCTGAAATCCCCATTATCTTATATATTCTGGGTTGTAGTCTGAGGCATGGAAAACTTGGATTCACCTACCCAGAACTAGCCCTCCACCCTCCGCCATCTCCTGATGGACAAGTCCAGTGTTTTGTACCATTAGGAGGAGACTGACACTTTGAAACTGGAGAGCAAACAAATGTGGCATTTACTGTGTACCAGAAACTGGTTTAAGCTCTTTACGTATGTTAGCTCATTAACGTTCGCAACAGTCTCACAAAGCAGATGCAGTTATTATCAGCATCCCCCTTTTACTGGCAAGGAACAAAGGCACAGTAACTTGTCCAAGGTCACTAGCATTTTTGTAAGAGCTGGGAATTAAAGCCATGCAGTTGGGCTCCAGAGCTGCATGCTCTTGACCACACTCACCTGATTCTGGGAACAATAGTGGACTCCATCCTGGCCCCCGTCTGCATCCACTCTGGGATGCTGGCAGCACCATCACCCAGCATGCCCAGAAATGCAACTAGCTCTTCTCTTGGTTACATTAATGGCACCGGTACCCTCTGGCCATTCTGGCTGGGAGCTCTGGACTCCTTTCATTGACTTTCCTTTCCGATCGCTACGCATTTGTCAACCTGTCTCTGGCTTATTTCAGAGGGCTCCTAGGTTTTCTCTGTTTCCAATCTGTTTCTGGAGTGAGACTGGCACATTTCAGAAGCCTTTTAACACTGCATTCTGAATGCCCCTTGGCCCCTGCATGTTCTCTACCTTCACTCCCCAAGGACTTGCATCACCATTTCTTTGAATGCCATGCTCTTCACACTAGGCACCTTTGCCCTATCATGGCACTTTTTTTTTTAATGGGAGTTCTCATGACCAATGGTTTTTTGTTTTGTTTTGTTTTGTTTTTAAGATTTTATTTATTTGAGAGAGAGAGAAGCAGAGAGCACGAGTGGGGGAAGGGCAGAGAGAGGGAGAAGCAGATTCCCCGCTGAACAGGGAGCCCCATGCTGGGCTGGATCCCAGGACCCTGGGATCATGACCTAAGCCGAAGGCAAGTGCTTAACCGACTGAGCCACCCAGGCACCCTATCATGGCATTTTTATCATTCCACCATGTGTCGGACTTTGTAGTTTTCAGTTCCGGTTCCTTCCTTGGGGCAGGGAGAATCCTGGCTGCTCACCTTTGTAGCCACGGTTTCTGGCCACTGATGAGGTACTCAGTGAGTGTGAGGATGAGAGAGGAGCCCTTCCTGGAGACAGAAGCTGAGCAAGGGCTGCAGGAAGGGGAGGAGGGTGAAAGGCAGATTGGGGGATGGCTAGGATGGGGCTGAAGGGGATGGGTGGAAAGGGGGACATTGAGAAAGGCGGTGGACTCTTCTTTCATCAAGGCCTGAGGCTGATCCTGATCCTGAGGCTGATTCTGAGGAGAAAGGGAGGGGGTCAGGGACACAGGGAGGGAGATAGGGAGGGTGAGGGAGTTTCCTGTCTTCCAGCAATCAAGGCTCTATGTCCTCTGGGTGGAGAGATAGTAGAGTCTTTTTATTGATTGAGGTAAAATTAACATTCAAGATAGAGGATTTTTGCTGCTTAAGGAGAATCAGTTTTAACCATAGAAGTGAAATGAGTATGCATGCCTTCCTTTAGCCACTGGCCGAATTTTTTTTTAACATGCGTTGACTGGTGACGTATTTTCACTCCTATTATGGAATATAGATAGCTCGCTTGGGCTCTTTTCTGTGTGAGTGAGGAGTGGCTTTCAACTCTGGACTTATGAGAGGAGGGAGTATCTTTGGAAGCAGAAAATTCAGCAGAGCCCCCAAGAGTCAAGAAAGACAAGAGTTTTAATGTTTTTTGAGAACTTATTGTGGGTACCAGTTCCTCTGGCTATGATGTGGGAAACTGAAACTAAGATACCTTTCAGTCGTCTGGTGAGATAAGGCAGCAGTCAAGAGAGGGTGCCTTACCACGGGGTGAGGAGTTGGAGACCTCAAGGGAGCCTTGATTGGTATGCCTTGAGTACCTACTATGTGCCATTATATCTTCTGACAAGGGGTTAAAGTACCAGGAGTCAACTACTGATGACAACCTTACTAA